CTCAGATGGTGGCACTGTTTGGGAAGGCTGTGAAAACTTTAGGAGGCGGTGCCCTGCCCTGGAAGAAGTGGGTCACTGGAGACAGGACATGAGGCTTTATAGCCTGACTCTATTTCCCATTCACTCTCTGCTTCCCCAGTGAAGATGTGGTGTGACCGGCCAGCCTCCTGCTTCAGTCACCTTCCCTGCCTGCTGCCATGGTGGCTGGTATCCCTCTGAAACTGTAAAGCAAAATACATACGCCCTTTACTCCTAAGATGCTTTTGTTAGGGCATTTTTATGGCAGCAATAGGACAGTAACTAAGACACCCCTCCAAACGGGGACCAGCGGACCACATCTGCCATGGGTGATAAGATGCACATCGGCAAGTATACACACGGACTTTGGACTCCCATAGAACAATGTGAGGTGCACTCTCACCCTGAACTCTTGGGAAAGGGTCTAGGCCCTGCCCTATATGAAATGATAGACTATGGACACCCCCGTGGAGGGCCTCACCCTCCCTGGGGGAATGAGGGGATAACGGGGGGGGGGGGATGCGGGGAGGGCACGGGAGGAGGGGAGGGAAAGGGAGAGGGACCTCGTACTGACTTGTGAAGCAACCTTGTTTCTTATCTAAATTTAAAATGGAAAATAAAAAATATTAATAAAAAAAAAAAAAAAAGATGCACATCGGAGGCCGACCCATCTGAGGGAGCGCTGGAAGCAGTCACGGCATTTGTCGTAGGTGATGACATGCAACTGAAGCTCAGATGTCTGCCCAGAAATAACTCACCTATGTAAGGGAGGGATTACGGTAGGAAAGTGTCACACGGATGCCTTTGCTTTGGCAGGGAAAATGCTGACAAGGGAGAATGAGATGGAAGGGTTAGCCTGCTGCCTCCTACGGCTGGCAGGATGCAAGGGAGACGGAATGCAAGTTAGATCTGCCATCAATGGGTTTTCTGGGAGGCAAAGACTTGAAACCCAAGGAAAGAACAGGAGCTTAAGGAGGCGTGATGGGGAAGCGAGAGAAAACGCTTCGCAGCCCAATCTTTAATACAGAGAAAAGTGCATGCAGGCAGAGGCCTTAATTATGGCCCAGTGCAATAAACTATGATAATCAGAGACTACTTAGCCTCTGAACTGATTGGATCAGGAAAGACATATTTATTATTATTTTTGCATATACGTATGCAGGTATGCCACAAGTGTGGGTGTCTGCAGAGGCCAGAAGAAGAGGGTGTTGGATCCCTGGGAATGACCAGACATGGCTGCTAGGGAGCGAATTTAGGGCCTTCAGGAGAGTAGTGAGTACTCTTAACCACCAGGCCATCTCTTAAGCCTCAGGGGAAAGACTTTTAAAAAATGAATAAAAGAGCCTCTCTCAGCTTTAGGTGTGAGGCCATGGGACACAGAGGCAGATGGGAATGGCCTGAGTCGTGTGGAACCCATTCCTCCTTGAGATGGAGATGGCATAAACCGAGACAATAGGAGAAAAACAAGTCCCTCGGACAAGCCAATAGGGACACTTGGCTATGTCTAAGATCTTCGTGGCTAGCAGGGACTGGAGGTCAGAGAGGAATGACGGGCATTGCTAAGGGAACTGAGCCTGCGAGAGGTGGTGACTAATGGCCAGTTTGTGGCTTTGAGTACTGTGTTTACCAGAAAGCTACAAAAGAAGTTGATTTACCCAGGGATGGGGATGGGGACTTCAGTGTTTTCATTGAGCTCCCCTAGTGGAGTGTGACCTTTACAGCATAGGAGAAGCTGGGACGGATCCAAGTGATTCAGACCAACATGTAAACTGGCTTTGTAAGGCGTTAAAGCAAAGATGAGGGGATGAGGGAGGGACAAAAGAGTCTCTCCAGGCCACTCAAAAAGCAAACGCGTTGAGCCAAAATATCGACAGAAGGGCAGACGCTGTGCCAGAGAGCTTCTAGAAGGCTTTACGGGAGAGGAGAAAGAAGGAGTCAAGGACAGAGTGAAATACGTGAGAAGGGTAAGACCATCCGATAAACAGGCAGCTGTCCTCTCAGAAAAGCTGTAAACATTTCCCCCTTCAAGGAAGGACCCTGGGCTGGAGTCACGCATGTGCCCGCAATCCCAGCATAACACATGCACATCCAGGAGGACTGTCATAATTTTAAAGCTAGCCTGGTCTACATAGAAAGTTCTAGGCTAGCCTGGACCATAGAATGAAATTCTGTATCAAAAACCTCATGGAGATTGGGGCTCTTTTGGTAACCAGGTATTGTCAACGAACAGTGGCCATGGTACTGGTCCAGACCCAGAGAGTCAGTCCTTTAGCAGGAATGGCAGATGGCAGCACAATCCCACTCACCCCTCTCTGCCAGTTCAGTTGAGCGTCACGAGCTATCCCTATCAAGACCATCATGGGCAGGGAAATGCATGGCAACCCCGTGACAGTGCCCCAGGATGAGGGCATAGGGTGGTTTATGGAGAATGTGCATTCTGGAGCAAAAGATAGGGTGGAGCTCCCATTCATGATGTGGTGCCCAACATTGCTCTTTAGTTTTTTAAGGAAACAATTGACAATAGTGACAAGATCTTCCCATGATGCATTGGACCTTGCTAACTATTCTTTGGTGTCCCCCAAGATGCTGAACCACACAACCACTAGTGTTTTTTTTTTTTTTTTTTTTTTTTACAGTGAATAGTCTCGGGCCTCCAGAGATCATGCCCATCCTCTGTGAAAAAAAAATCTCATTGTATAATGCCAATCCGGAGAGTCTGAATGAAGGTATACTACATAGGTGAGAAAGGGCATGACCCCAGTGCCAGATGAGTGCAGGGAGGCCCCTGTGAGCCCCCACATCAAGTAGGCTATTGTGACTGCTGTTGGTTGCATGCCAGAGTTAGGCGTTAAGTCCTTATTGTTGAAGATACAACACACTTTGGATGAAAAAAGCAAGCTAGAACAGAGCTTGGAGCTCTCTCCCTGTTTACTGGCTTTTGTAGTGCTGGAAGGAACTCTGCAGGCTGTTAAGGAAGTGGTCACAATCTTACTCTGTTATGGACTCTATATGGGTTATACATCAGGCAAAAATGTGCCCTCTGGAACAATAGTGGTGTGGCTGTGATAGGTGCTTTTCTATGGGATATAAGGCCCACACCATAGGACAGAACTCATATTTGGTATTATAAATCAGGGTAAAACTCATAGCTGGGGAGGTCATAGGCTCGACTAGCAAAGCCACAGCTGTTTGCTCTGTTCAAATGTCCCAGACATTTGTATTATATTTATAGATTACTGCCATTGTCAGTCTTGAGCAGAAAAAAAATTTCTTTTAAAGACTTACTTATCTATTACATATACAGTGTTCTGTCTGCATGTATCCCTGCAGGCCAGAAGAGGGCACCAGATCTCATTACAGATGGTTGTGAGCCACCGTGTAGTTGCTGGGAATTGAACTTGGGACCACTGGAAGAACAGCCAGTGCTCTTAACTTCTGAGCCATCTCTCCAGTCCCGAAAAACATTTTTTTTTTGTAATGGACAGTAATTACTAAAGAGACTCTTGGGTGGGGCTGCTTGAAAATTAGCCAGGAAGCTACATCTTTAGCAGTCATTGCTTATGCTGGAATGAACTTTTTGATGATGCAACTGTTTTTGAGTCATTTATGCTCCTATAAGTAACCCTAATAAAGTTATTGGTTTGCCAAGAAGAAGTTGGGTAAATCATGCCTTTGGTTTGTTGTCAGTATTCTACCCTGAGTGAATAAGTGAATATGTTTGTTCTTGTCTTCCTCAACACACTGCTTCCCCCGCCCAACAAAGAGAAAGGGCTTTGTGCACTGCCTCATGTCACTAGTCCCTGGCACATAGTAGGGTTTGTGTGTGTGTGTGTGTGTGTGTGTGTGTGTTATTGTTGTTGTTGCTTTGAGACTAGATTTCAAGTAGTTCCGGCTGGTCTTGAACTCCTGATCTTTCTGCCTCCACTTGGCTGGGTTACAGAAGTGCATCGCCTTTTCGTGTATTTGTTGATTGGAGATGTAAATGACTTAGTGGAAAATTTCTAGTGAGAGACACTGAGCTGACCCTGAGTGATCCCAGATCAAAGATACAGTCAACACACAGCATCTAAATGTCTAGTGTTCTGGTGCTTTGGTATTCGGTAAGCTCAGCTGCACCTGAGACCACACAGGGGTCATTCCAGGTTTTTGTGACTTGGTATTCAAAGCTCTACGACAAACTTTCCTATCTTCACTCATCGGATGTACTTGGAGAGAGGAGGACCAAGGTGGGATCCTCCGAGCAAAGATCAAATGGGCAGAGAGACTGGGGCCCCCATTTTTCTGTGGCAAGGGCTCCTGTCCTTTAATTGGGAAAACACTGGATTCCTACCCAGCACAAACTTATTGGCCTTGTCACCTGTTGCGGGGGGGGGGTGCGGGGGGAGGCGTGCTAGGTCACCAAGGTGTTTAATAGTACACTGGAAGGCTATAGGCCTTAGGTGTAGCTGTGACTACTACCGTGTTGCATTCTGATACCTCAGAGGGCCCTGGTAGACAAGATGCACAAAACTTGGGCCCCTAAGCAGGCAGTTGGTTGCTAGGGAAGTTTGGGATTCTTGGAAGAAAGGGGAGTTGGCAAGAACCTGGTACTTCACTCAAACTATGAATGGCCTGTCCCCCAGTCCCTCATTTTGAAATGTGAAAAATGCTCTTTGCCCTCACTTCTGCAGCCAGACGCCTTAAAAGGGACCCTCTTCTGAGAATCCAGAAAAGACAGGGCCGAGGGACCCTGCAGGGGAGGCCTCAGGGGTGGGGGTGCAGGGCCCATCACTATGGTTGCCCTCCTCCTGCTGTCTCTCCGCTAATAGACCCTCTCCCTGGTAACCTGGAGGCTGGCAAGCATTGAATAGTCGACCATACCATTCAGATTTCCAAGGGAGATGATGGGGCCGCCAGGCCCAGGAGGCAGTTAAACTTGTCCCCTGCTGTCACCAGTGTGTCCACACATGAGAGGGCTCCAAGGAGACAGGCTAGAGTGAGCCATACAAGGGGGCTCCCCTCTCCCTCTTCCCACTCACTTGCCATCCCTACAGTCCCAATTGTCCCCTCCCCCAGGCAGGCCAGGACACTCTCAACAAAACCAGGCCCAGCAGGAAAAAACAAAACGAAAGCCAGCCTGTGGCAGGCACAGCAATACATGGGGACACATCGGCGGATACACCTTGGACCTCCTGGGACAGCTGAGAGACCCTGCCACTGAGAACACAGACCTCCAAGGGTAGGCCTGAGGTCATTGTTGAAGGACTGTAGAGAAAGGCAGTGGAAGAAACTGGAGAGACTCTTACTGGGAACATGGGAGCGCATGAGGGTGTGCTCAGATTTGGGGAGTCCTTCTATTGCTCTGAGAAAAGAAACAAGGTTCAGCAAACGGGAATGGCTAAACCGAGGTCACACTTTCTGTGTGGGATTTGAAGGGAAGTAAGAAAGTATTAGGGAGAGCTTGCAGAGGGTGCATTCAGTGGAGGGCTCAGAAGGAAGGGGCTCCATGCTTGGGCTTCAGGAGTCATTCTTCCAGAACCAGCTGTTCTTGCTGGCTGGCAGCAGGGAACCCAGCATCTGGGCCTACCCCAAACTCCTGGGCCTGTTCTCAAGCACCCGGAAGTCACCGACTACACTAGAGTTGCTCAGGTGCCCATGCAGAAGTGACCCTGGGGTTTATAGCTCCACAGTTTCTCTGGGTTCTGAGCTAGCAGGATGAAGGTGTTTCTCAGCTCAGACTGCCCTTTCCATACTGGGGTCAAGTGCTGAGAACCAAGGGATAGCTAGCTTCTCTCCATGGGGGACGGCAGTGGGTATGCCCTATCCACACTCCAGCTCAGACTGCAGGAAGGGCTGATCCGTGGATGCTGTTCACTCAGAGAGTTTCCAGGCCCAAGGCCTGAAGGGTGGAGGCCCTGAGCAGTTAGACGAGCATCAGAATTTCCAGCCTGGAGCGGCTTCCAGGGCTGGGAGGGGCTGGGGTAAGAGATGGGTGGTAGGTGGGTGGAGAGCCCTGGATGCCCTCAGTCAGCTGTGCCCAGAGCCAGGAGTTAGGTCCCGGAGTTGCTGGTGAGTGCCCAGGTGGGGCAAGGGCTGTAGGGGCTAAGGGGCCAGGGTGGCCATGCTCTGTGATTCCCCATAACTATAGGCAGGGCCTTGGCGTAACTGAGCCTCCCCTATGACCCTGGCTTTGGTGCTAGAGCCTGAGGGAGATACGAAGTAAGCTGGGGAGGAGGAAGCTGCTCTGCCTTAGCCTCAGGTGAGGCTCTGAGGTCAGAGTGAGGACAAACTTCTATTTGGATCTTTGGGTTTTCTCTATTGGGTTGTGTAATTGAAAAGGCGTAGATGCTGGGCTGTCAGCTGGATGGAGGCCATTTGTGTGTTTTGATTGGCCTGGGTAGCACATCCAATATTTGAAAATTGATTTCAAAACTTTCAGAATCAAAGTTTATCTGGCATTTTGTAATACCCGTCTTTCTTCTGTGCTTCAAACAACTTCAAATTAGTTGCTAGTATTTAAATAGCAGGAATGCTTGCCCTAAAAAAACAATCAAACAAAACAAAACAAGGCAAAAAGAAAAAAAAAACCTTTCTTGCCTCAGTTGAGAAGGCTGAAGAGCCTGGCAAAAGTTTCTATGTCCCCAAAGTCCAGCCTAGGGAGCTGCCTATCTGTCTTCTTTGGGCATGCATTACCTGCACCAAGGCTCTGGAATTATTACCACCAGTCACCAGTCATACAAGTTTAGTCTGGTCCTTTGTCTACGAGGACAGTCTGTGGCATTCCCCACACAGGATGGATCCTCTGAGGGATAATGGAAATGTCTAGAAGGTGAATGATGTTACAGGGTAGGTTTCTGGCTTCACTCTGTCAAGTCTTCATGGTTTGTGTTTCTTGAGAGTTGTCTGAGTGACTCAGAGAGGGTTGGGGGGCGCCTAGTAAGAGGGCAGGCATGGGACCAGGAGTCAGGACATTAGGCCTTTCTCTTTGTTTGCCTACGTGGCCTTGTGTTTGGCCTCAGTTTCCTTGGGAGCAGGTTAGACCACATCAGGAAGTAGCAACAACAGTAACCATGGATCCAGGCGGGTGGAATGATATGTGGTGGGCATGAAGGAGTGTGGCCACTGTAGAGGGGACGCCAGAGGAGCCAACAGTGAGATTTCGGCATGTCAAGAGGTCAAGCACTCAAATATCTGTCTGTCCATCCATCCATCCATCCATCCATCCATCCATCCATCCATCCATCCATCCATCCATCCATCTATCCATCCATCTATATCTATATCTATATCTATATCTATATCTATATCTATATCTATATCTATATCTATATCTATATCTATATCTATATCTATATCTCTCTGAGTCTTACATAGCTCAGGCTGGTCTCAAATCTTTTAGCTAAAACTGGCCTTGAATTCCTATTCCTCCTCCCCCCATCTCCAGAGTGCTGGGATTACAGGCATGCACCACTACAAAACACACCAAGCAACCATCAAAACACATGTGTGGGACCCTAGCCTTGGCCTTAGCCCATTGTTAGGGTCCCCACCAGCCCACCACAGCATCTTACACTCTGACTTGTTCTTAACTCATTAAGTGGCTCACTGACAGATTGGGCTTAGAGGTGGGTTTTTAAGTTTAAGACTGTGGTAGCCGGGCGGTGGTGGCGCATGCCTTTAATCCCAGCACTCGGGAGGCAGAGGCAGGTGGATCTCTGTGAGTTCGAGGCCGGGCTGGACCAATAGCCTCCAAAACAATATAGAGAAACCCTGTCTCATAAAACCAAAAAAAAAAAAAAAAGACTGTATGGTAATTGCTGAGAACTGATTATAAAATGCCAGAAAGCTTTCAGTACACTGTGCTCTTTATGGCTGCAGGGCAGAGAGAAGCTCTGGGTTCAGATCCAGCCCAATCACTAATCAGCTGTATATGATACCTCTCTGGGCTTCGCTGTACTAACTAACCTGTAGCAAGAACATCATGAGAGCATGGCAAACTTCTCAACCCTCACTGGCACGCTCCAGGTGAGTCTCACCTCCCTGCCTGGGATGCAGCTGCTTTACCCTGATTCTCTGTCCTGCCCTTGCAGACACCATGAGCACAGGGAGCTCCAGCCTTCCCAGTCCCCCAGCCTTCCCTACGACTCCTGCCACTTCTGGGACTTACACCGCGGCTGCCGATCCTGTGTCAGTTCTCATCGCCCTGGCCTGCATTTTTCTGCTGTTGGCCTCTTGCCTGCTATTCATGATGCTGTGTAAGCCAACTGCACTGGACCCTGGTCGTCAAGGGGCCCGGGAATACATGCCGCATCACCCAGTGAGCCCCAGTGAGCCCAGGCTCCGGCTCTGGAAGCGTCTGGGCTCTCTACGCCGTTCTCTGCACAGCTTCCGGCGAGGCAGGTCTGCTGTCCAGCAGTGTCCTCTGCCGGGCCTTGATGACCACCGAGGCGACTGTGACTTCACTGAAGCCACCAAGATGTGATACAGTGCTCATCTGTACCCACAACCATCCTGCCTCCTAAGGAGCCTGGCATTGAAGTCTGTAGGACAGTGATACCCTGGACTGACCCTGCCCAGTATTTCTCTGTGTGTCCAACCCATGTCCTTTCCCAGAAGACTCTGAAGGCCCCTGCTTCTGCTTGTTAACATATCCTTGGATCAAAATATCTACAGGCCTCTAGACCTTTACCCTGTGGCCCTGAGGTATAACTTGGGGTACCACAGCACCCCTTTTTGGAAGCTAGGTATCTATTGATCCCAGGAATAGCACCTCCTGACCCTCCAGAAGCCTTTCCATTGTTTAAAGGCCCTACTTAGTGCAGCTGCTAAAAGGTCCAGACACCTCAACTAAGTGGGATGTTTGCATATCCTGGGTCTACACTAGCTTGCATCTGTGCTAACCTAGTACCCCGGGGAAACGGATGCAGGAATTCCTTTTTTGGCGGTCCTGCACCTCCTTGTGGGTCTGGTTGGTTGCCAGCCAGGGCTCTGGCAAGTATCAAATCATGAACCTGGGAATCCCCTTCGTGGCCTCCTGTCAGGACAGATCGGGAGGGCCTGAAGACGGCAGCCCACGGAAGTTTCCTATACGCTGAGTATGGTAGTTCACACTTGTAATCCCAGCACGCAACAGGCCAAGGCAGGAGGATTGTTTGAGGCAGCCTGGCTACAACATGACATCCTGAATCAAATGAAATCCAAACAAGTCAAACAAACAAAAAAGAGGCTGTTGTCCAAGGCTACATGGAGGTTGTGTAGGAGGCTGGCCACTGCTAGTCCTGGAGGGGATGCTGCCTGGACTCTGAGGATTCATGGTAGCAGTACCACGTCTCACTGGGAAAGAGCTGGTCTCCTCTCAGGTAGCGTAAACCAGACCTCTCAGGACAGCGGGACGATCAAGGCTGGCTTGGCGCCAGCCGCACTCTCTGTGTTGTGGCAACAACTTCATCAAGTGACCTGTTGAAGCAGGGCCACTGCAGTGTGGTGCGGGCTGCTGGGAATCCCAGCCTTTTGTCCCACCTTCCATGGCCAAGGCCTCTGCCGCATCTCAGACTTGAAGCTTAGGCAGAGGGGACCTACAATGCTTAGGTCCTATCCCAGAGTCAAGTGACCCGGGACAGCCCACCTTAGCTGCTATGACCCAGAGTAAAGTCACCCAATATTCCCAAGGACTGAGCTTAGATCCGGAGCTCTCACTGGTTCCCCTTGCCTGCTGGATGGACCTGTTCCTCGGTGTGTAGTGGGCTCTCTGTAATTTACGTTCCTAGCCTCATCCTGACCAGACCCTTAAGGCAACTGAATGATCTGTCCTCCCTGTCTATGGTTTAAGCTTGGCTGGGACCTGCATTTTGAAGCCTTCTTTGTTTTGCAATAGAACTGCCCTTCCTTCTGGAGCTCTTCCCCTCTCTCATCTGTCTCAGGGAGGCCAGCAGCATGCACGGGCTTGTCTGTCTTCTTTCCTACAAGCCTGGGAGCTGCCGGGAGCCACATCCTGTCCCAGAACTCATTACATCCCCAAGGCAGCAGGCATCTGGTGTGAGCCTGACCTACACCAATGGCCTAGTGTCCCCTGTGATACCCCTAAAGACGGTGGCTCTCCAAGGGTGCTATAGAGGTAAGGTCACTGTCCCTTCCTCTTGCATCCTTGTAATAAGAGTGTGGGTGGGGTGGGCATCTTTGCATGGCCTGGGGGAGAAAGTGTCCTGAGACCCTGAACATCTCAGAAGTGGGGAGAACAGGGGAGCTCTGTGTCACTCAGGAATTCCAGGGTGTGGTCCCAAGTCTAATTGTACATAGAAACCAAGACTTCAGGGCCAGGAAGCAAGCCAGCTTCTCTCCAAAGGGCTTTGAGTACCCCTTGCCTCTTCACCTGCCTAAAGCATCTTAGGTTAAACTCCTCCATGGCCTACTACATCCTATGTTGGATGGGTTGCAGGTTCTGGGGTGTCTATCAATGAGCTGGGAAAGGCATGTACTAAGTTAGGGTGTTGTTCCACTGCTTCATGGATAGAGAGGCAGGGGGAGGACTCATTCCTCCCCCCTCAGGAGCCAGCTGCTGGACTCTTGCATGTCTCTGGCCTTCCTGGACTCTACTGAGGCTGCTTTCCTTCTGTTCCTTTCTTGACCATTCCCAGTGCCCCCATAGGGAGGTAGATTCTCTTTACCCCCCACTCTTCCTTCCCTCCTGAGCTAGGGAACAGGCCATAGTGGCAGGTCCATCTCTGTTGAGTTTGGCTCACCCTTGGATTGCGTGGAAAACACTGAGGCTGGTGAAGTGGGCCATTCAGTTCCTGTCTTCCCCCCAGCAACTAAGCAGCCCCACTGTGTGTGTGTGTGTGTGTGTGTGTGTGTGTGTGTGTGTGTGTGTGTGTGCAAGCACACACGCTTCATTTTCAGGGTCATCCTGCCCCTGGGCCTCTTAGCTGTGACTCCTACTCTAGGCCAAGGAGCCCTTTCTTCTTCTGCCTGCTTTCTTTCAAGGGGGAGTGTGGCCAAGGAGCTGTGAAAGCCGCTCTGTCTAGCCTTGGTGAGCCCTGGCTCTCACTCCTTGACTCCTTTCCAGGAAAGAGTTACTCTCCCCTGCCCAGTGCTCTGAAAGGCTCTGGGGGAGGCTAAGGCAAGCCAGGGCCCTGTCCTCAGCTCACACAGACTGGGGCCCACTCTTGCCAGAAGGGAGGAGGGAACATGCATGCCTTTCCTTGAAGTACAAGCCACTTCCAGGCCACGCTGGCCTCCCGCTGCCCCTACCCTCTGTGACATGATGCTACTGAACCAGTGACCTCGGGGCTGAGTATATCCCTGCCTGGCCCCAGCCTGCCACCTGCCTGCACGATGCTGTGGCCCTCTGGGATGTCTTCTGGGACGCTGGCCTCATAGCTGCTTTGCAGAAAGATGGGCCGGTTGTCATTCACGTCCAGAACTGTGACAAACACAGTGGCCGTGCCTGTGCGCCGCTTGCCTACAGGGCCATTGTCTGTGGGAGGTGAAGGAGAGCAGGTATTAGAAGCTAGGTACTCCAAGCTGTCAACCAGAGACACGCTGTCCTATACCAGCCTCAAGGGATGGCGGCTCATTGCCCTTCCAGACCATCAACATCACTAACAATACCCAGGGCTGACATAATGCCACGTCACAGATAAACTTCTGAGGCTCATTCAGTCCTCACAGCGGTCTAGGGAAGTAGACAGGATTCTCCTTCCCAGCTCACAGCGTAGCTAAGCAAGACACTGAAGAAGGTGGGGTGAACGGTCGAATTTTTAGGAATCTGTGCACATTATTCATTTCATAAAAGGGGCTTTTGGAGACGCAATTAATGTTAAGGATCTTGAAGGGAGGCCAGTGTTTACCCAGTGATTAAGTGTCCTTAGAAGACAAGGTACTCTGAGCATAGTGGGTGCCTGTAGTGTCTGATGGCAAGCCAAGGCAGGGGGATTGTTAGAGACCAGTTATTTGAGCGCCGCCTGTCTCAAAATGCAACCACCATCAAAGAGAAGGTCGTATGAAGATGGAGCCATAAGCCGAGGAACCCTGTAGCCGTCAGACATGGAGAGGCAAGGCGGGAGTCTATGGAGGACTGCGGCTCTGCCAACACCTTGGTTTTGAACCTCCAGAACCAGAGACTCCACATTCTTTTAAGCCACCAAGGTTGCCTTGATTTGTCCCAGCCAGGCTGGGGCCCACACAGGTGAGGAAATATGACACCGCCTGCTGTCCAGGCCAGGGTACAGTGAAGGGCGAGGGATACGGGGTAAGACGCCTGGGTCAGTCACCTCAAGGGCAGGTGTTTGCTGCTCCAGTCACAGGCGATGGGCGAAATGTGGGTCCAGGGACACAGGGACTCTGATTTCTCAAGAGAGACTGAGCATCTGAACTTTGGTGTAAAGGCTTTTTAAAAAAAGTTCCTCACTAAGTATTATTGTTCCCTATTAAACATCAGGATGGCCAGACCAGTGTTCCTACAGGATGGACTTGGTTCTCAAACTTAAAGCATGGTGGCTCTATGGGAGCCAGCCAGGGTGGAGAGCTGTGCCGCAGGTGCCATGGCCCCACCCGGGAAAGCTTCTGAAAGTCCTTCCCAGAAGGTGACACTCCTGCCCAGTGTGTGTGTCCCAACCAGGACACTCAACCCAGGGAGGGGCAGGACAGCTGGGTTGGCTGGGGACAGATGGTGATTTGGTTTTTCTTTCCAGCTGAGCACACACTGGGGTACAGGTCATTCACCCCACGGTGGCCCCTTTTACTCTTCTAGGCCCCTCCCTCTCATCCCAAAGACCCTGCCTCAGCTGAGGATGCTGAGCTAGAAGACATCCATGGAGGATGGGACCAAAGCCCTGTGCTTCTGCCAGCTCAAGCCAAGGCTGGCTCAAGTTGGGAGATGGCTCTCCAAAACGCAGTGACTTCCCAGGCTACACTCAGGATGGGCAGAGAGCACAGCAGGACAGAGCCAGCGGGGCATGGTGGAACTGCGAGGGACAGCTGATTGGAAGAGTGTGACATAGCTCATTCCTGCTCACACAGAGACATGCACACAGGCACATGCATACACACAGACATTCACAGACACATGCACGTGTGCATGTGTGCGCGTGTATATGAGCGCATGCACACACACACATACACACACACACACCTTGTCTGCCCATCAGCACATCCTGCCCTTTTCTGGGAAAACCACACCTGACTGTCCCCCACTGATGCTGAGATGGGTGGGATACCCTCCCTGCCCCATCACCCTGTCTGTAGCACTAGAGACGGACAACGTACAGGCATAATTGGGCACACTTCACTTCCCTAGCCATAATGAGGTGCCCAGCCACCAACACGGACCAGATGGAACCAACCGCAGCTGCTCTAAAGGCTGAAGCTGCCAAGGCTGGGGAGAAGGCTTCTCTACTGCTACGCTTGAAGCTGGAAGGATGCTGAATTGGGGTGGCTGTAATGAATGACCACCATGGTCCAGAGAACGACACAATCAACTCACAGCGCAGAACGACCAGTGCAGGGTGACTGAGGTCTAGCGGCGCCCCGAGTCCTAACTAGTCACTGCCCATTTATTTTAATTTTTGATTGTTTGAGAAAAGTCTCAGGTGGCATAGGCAGTCCTCAAACTTGCTGTGCAGTTGGGAATGGCTTTGAACTCTTGAACCTTCTGCCCACTCCTCCCCTGTGCTAGGATCACAGGTGTGTGCCATCATGCATAGATGTGCAATGTTCATATATCACCTGTCTCCCCTTCCTGCTTTGTTCTGGCAGAGCAACAATGAGTCCATTTAGTGGCCTGCATGCGGCCTCACCCTCCTCTGTACTTGGGAGCACTGGAAAGTAACCGCTTACCCTACAGTGTCCGGGAATACTGTGAGTGCAGTGGACCTTTCTTCACTGCCTGGGGGCAGAGTTTGGACTCCAAGCCTGCTTCCCCAGTGTGAACTCTGCCTAGGATAACTGTGCAGGCAATATGCATGACAGCTAGCTCTTACCTATGGCCTCCAGCACGAGCGTGTATGCAGCTGTGGTCTCACGGTCCAGGCCGACAACGGTTCTCACCACAGCATCCCGGTAGCCCACACTGAACTTCCCGTCCACATTTCCCCCTGCAGGCACAAGTGAAGGAAGAGTCAGGTTGGGCAGCAGAGCTCTATATCAGACAGAAGGAGGCACCATGACTCTCCTCCTAAATGGGCACCTGCACAGGACCCCTCAAGGGATGCCATTAATCTCTTACAGGTGGAAGGCAGCCTGTGTGGGCTGAATGACTGACTAGAAGCGTAAGTGTTCAACATCTATTGAGCACCTACTGTGTACCAGACACTCTAATTATGGGCCAGGTCATATAACCTCCACTTGAACTGAGGTTCTGTGCCCAGGGAGGACTGGAATGGAGCAGAGGGGAGAGTGGACAGGAGACAGGTGAGGCTTGGTGGCCCTGGATGGTGGTCCCCTTGTGGGGTGGAGCCAGGGGAGAGGGTTCTCTGGGACTATCGAGGGAGAGACCCACCTCACGTGAGCTGGCTGTAGTACAGTATGTTAGACAGCAGAGGGCGCCATTGAAATGTGCTTAGACGAATTGGGGTCACTCAGTTGATTTCAGAGATGGAAATCTACAAAGGCTCAAGGCCAGTGAGCACGAAACAGTCACTTTGGGGGTCCTGGGAAGTCTCCTTTCTCTTTACATGGTTTGCCCCTGAGGGAAAGCCCTGGAAGTCAACGTCTGGACTCCTCACAGTCTGATAGTCTCCTGCAATGGACAGAACCCAGTTCTTCATGGGACAGGGAGGAAGTAAGTGGGAGTTAGTGTTGGCCGCAGAGCCTCTAGGCTAATGTCATGCGGTAACTGTCTCGCTAACTGTGGCTCTCTTGGATGGCCTTTGGGCTAGGAGCTGAGCATGAGGAGGAAAGGAAGGGAAGGGCCTGGGAAGGAAAGCCTGAGGGCTGAAAAGTCATTGCAGCTACAGGAAAGCCCATGAGTGACACATGAGCCTGGGATCCCTTACTGCTGGGGCCAGGTGGTCAGGGAGGGTAGTGTGCACACTGGGCATGTCTTCAGGCAAGCGTGCCCAGATGTGGTAGAGACATGACAGGACCCCAGACGGCTCACAAGGACAAAGAAGGCGGTTATGGGAGGGCTGAGGGGTGTGGAGGGCTCTTCCCGCCGGCCCTACCTTCTAGTGCCTGTCAGAGGGGCCATGCTTGAAAAAAGCCGAAAAACTATGCTAGCTTGGGATGACAACTGCAGAGCGTGTTTACTGTCCCCTGTAGGTTCCACTACTGTGACAGGCTCACTTTCCCCAGAAAGCCAGGGCAGGACCTCATCAGGGTTAGCCCCAACTCAACCGGCAGTAGCTACTGAACCTGTTCCAGCCCAAACTAATCCCTTTAGGGAGTTTGCAGCCACCTGCCTCTCAACAGATAGGAGTTCTCGGGGAAGGATGAAGCCACGTTCCTTCAGGATTGCTTTCTCACCCTGAGGTGGGGTGAAGAGTCACCCCAGTCAACACTGTCCCCTCTGACTACCCCCACACAGTACACCTTCAGCCTTGAAGCTCCCTGAACCAGGAGCAAGCCCCTGGGGAGGCATGAGGGTAGAGGCCCATGTCCCCTTTCCTCCCTTCTGTCCCTGTCAGGAGGGTTGGGGCAGCCAGGAGGCAGCGAGGGAAGTACCTGTGATGAAATAGCTGAGCTCCGCGTTGAGGCCCACGTCATTGTCTGTGCAGTTCAGCCAGACCACACGGAACTCACGGGGAACGTCCTCAGACACGGACACGTTGTACACAGCAGGGAAGAAGGTAGGCGTCTCATCATTCACATCCAACACTGCAAACGGAAGGGACACACTAGGCTAGGCCTGGCTACTACCGTGGATGCTCAGGTGCATGCAGCGAAAGGGTTTCCAAGGGGGTCAAGGGCTCCCGGTGACATTTGTGTCAATGCTGTCTGCTTATGAATCCAGGGGTCCTGTATGGTGGCTGAGCTAGCAAGGTCCAAACTGACTAGAGCTGGCACACACACCATCCCTGACTGTCATATAGCTGTGATAAGGCCAGTGCGTCCTTAACAACAACAGCAATATTAATAATGACAATGACACTAAGGGTTCTCACTCAGTCCACAGCCACCCTTTATGGCGTCGTTCTGAGGCAGGCGTCACCAGCCACACTGTAGATGGGAGGACAGAGGCTCAGAGCAGTTGAGTAACTTATCTGCAGTCACACAGCGATAGAGGGGGAGGGGCTGTGGTCTTGGAGAGATCTACCCCAGCTTAAGAGAGGGATCTCAGGGATCTGGCTCTGGGGGTTTTCCTTCCTAAAATTTTAATTTCCCTTAAATATTTGTATGTCTAGCTTTTTACACCAACTCCCCTCTCTCTTGAGCACATGGGGTTTAGGGTGACCCTTACAAGTAAGATGACTTCCCCCATTCTCTGTAATGCCATTAGAAGTGACAGGCCATTGTCACTATTTGTGGTTTTGCTGAGCTTGGAAAAGAAGTTCTTTGGGGGTTTGTAGTGAGATATCCACCCTGCTCATACCTGTAGCACTGGCCACGCCCATTTGGGCGTGGTCACGGGTGAGGATGTGATGGAGGAGAGGACTAGATCTGGGGTCACAGACCCCAGAGCTCTCTTGCTGCTGGTTGGGTCACAGGAAACAGTTTGGGAGGATCCTTGAAGCTGGAACCTGTGGCGGTCACCCGCCTTTTGTGTAAGTGTAATCTCCCCAAATAAACTTCACTTAACTTGTACTGAGTCTAGTGAATCTTGATTCCCATGCAATAGGGGTCCTCTTTGAAAGAGGGGACACATTTCTTACTGATTACTTGGTGGAGTGCCGGATCCCCAAACTGGCTCCCGGCATCTACTAGGGAGCCTTGTATTCATAGGAGAGGAAAGAGCTGACTCTGAGATGCTCGCTATCCCAGGTCTCCACTGAGGAGGACCAGGGTGTGTGTCTATGTGAGGGTAACCACCTGTCTGCTTCCCTACATCCTCTGGATGGAAAGCCAGGAGGACCACGTCCGGCTAAGCCCTGCTCATACTTCCTTAGGGTCCTTCCTGCCTCCAGCCACCATCATTCTCAGAGCTAAAGAATTTGCAGATGGGAAACTGTACTCCATCACACAGGGTGAGCACAATGGCACTTAGCCCCAAGGGGTGAAGGATCTGGGAGCAGAGTCCCCTACCTAACTTCTTTCCACCATAGCCATGAAGCCCTATGGTTTCATACCTACAGAATGGGGAGTCTCCTCATACCTACAGAATGGGGAGTCTCCTTTATATGGGAGAGAAAGCCCGCCGGCTTTTTGAAGATGACAGACCTGCTCGGAACCCTGGAGTCCCAGAGTCAGCCTTGACCCTCTCTGTAGATGCTGTGATGGGAGACTAGGAGGGGTGAGGGCCTTGGTGGGGTGCTGGGCTTTGAGGCAGTGGCCAGATGGAGACAAAGGTCAGTTAGCATTTTGAGCATAGTAGAGACAATCAGGACTATGCTGTTGGGGCTTCCCACTGGAGAGGGTATCCTATGGCTGGTAAGTGCATGGCTGGTAAGTGATGGCACTGTCCCAGCCCCAGCCCGGAACAGGAGGCACCCCTCACCGCGGATGGTCAGAGTGCTGGTGGAGCTCTTAGTAGGTGTGCCCGCATCGCTGGCCACTACCCGCAGCTGGTACTGGGCGATGCGCTCACGGTCCAACTCGGCGGTGGTTGTGACCACGCCACTGGTGCTGTTGATGACAAAGTCCATGCGGGGCAGGCCCACCTGCATTCGATAGGACACTAGCCCATTCAGGCCCTCGTCCAGATCGATGGCTACCACCTGCAGGGAAGAAGAGGCTATGTGAGGGGTGAAGCCAGGATGAACACTTTCCTGGGAGTAACTTCTCCTTTCCTACCCAAAAGAGCTTAGTGTATCAAACATACTGCTGCTGTCCCCTGTGAGCCTCGGGCTGGCCGTGGTCCCCTGGGCAGCCTCCATTGGGCAGGGTGTCAGCTGGAAGCTTCTCACATTATCTCCAGTGCAAATGCACTGAGTGAGACCAGGGTGGGAAGGATCTGCTAGGACCGCATCCAGGCTTCCAAGTTTGGCCCTTCAAGTCCTGCTATCCTTTTAGGAAGCCCTTCCAGGCCTCCAGCAGGCCCTGGGACCCTATACTGTTCCATGGTCCAGAGCCCTCCCTCATCCTCCAGCCCTTCCAATGCTGGCTGCCGGTACCACTCAGCCTAAAGACCCTGTCATCTCCTGGGCCTTGACTTCACAGCCTCTAGAGGCAACTTCCCTCTCTGCTTTGTAAGTTAAAATAGAGACAAGTGTAACAGGATACTAGGGCTATTCTTTAGAGCCACATGGAGATTTCATTTTGTAGGTTAAGCCAGGCAAAGCTCCTCCCAGGGTCCCACATTGTTCTCACTGGCAATTTCAGCCCCGGTCGGAGAGATCCCAGCACATGACCCCAATACACCAAGAATTTCACAGGATCACACCTGAGGACTTGGAGAAAAGTGCGTAACCAGGGAGAAAACAAGAGCTTTGTGGTTTAAGCAAGACCCTTGTCATTGGAAGACAACGGCCCCGTTTAGTGCAGGGAATGGACAAGGCTTCTTTCTCCATGCTTCTCCAAAGCCTTCATGGATGGGCGGGGGGTTGGGGGGAAGGAGGGGCTCAGTGCTTTCCCTTTATTTGGGTCTAATCCCCGAAGAAGGTTCTTATACACGTTTAGCAGAGATCTTTCTTGGTTAAGGTCCTAGGAGGGGCTGCGGGGTGGGCACACAGCTTAAGAGGGAAACTTCCTGAATCTGAGGTTTCCCTTCACACACTCTCAGTTCCTGTAGCCCTCCCTGTGGCTCTGAGCAACTTCTGTAAAATCTGCCCTGGGGGCTTCTCTTTCCCTCCTGTCCTGAGCACCTTCCCCACCCCTAGCCCTGAGTTCGGTTACTCTCTTGCTCCTACTCCTTTGGGGATTTCTCCTTGGGGACTGGCTGCTGTGGTTGAGGTGGAGGCTCCCCCTGCTGGGCGTTTGGGAGAATAGTCCCATTTTCAGGGATCAAACACTGCCAATTTATAGAGGCAGGCACAGTGAGCCAGTGGGCAGAGCCAAGGTCATGTACTCTGGTGTCCTGAGAAACAGCCCCATCTTCTTGGAGTGGGGACAAGTGACCCCACCGTCTCATGTATAAACCACGCCACATACAACAAACTCCACAGCTGCTGTGTTCCCTGCTTCTATTCAGCTGCGTACCCTCAGCACAGCTAGGCAGGCGTGACTGCTATTCCAGCCTTCAAGTGATAAATCTGAGGCTCAGAGGGGTTGAGGAGTGCACTCTGGGTCACACAGCAATAGATGCACACGTATATTGCTTGGACTCCAGTTCCTTTCTTATGAGGCACTGGGAATGGAACTCAGGGGCTTGCTCATGCTAGGACAGGTCCCACCCCGGCTCAGTAGTCCATAATCTTAACCTTGAAGCCCTCCCAGAGTTCCTAAGACATTCCTGGTAGGACATCACAGCCTCTGAATCAGTGTCTTCAGGGCCTCGCAGAATAGAAGGGTGGCAGGCGTGGGGAGAGACAGGCATGGGGAGAGAGGCCTGACCTTTTCTGGGCCCTGGGGAGTCCGGAAGTCTTTTCAAAGCTTCCTTCCCAGTGGGAAGGGTCTCATTTCCCAGAGCCACTTGGGGCCTCACAGGAGGAAGGAAGATCACAACAGGTGTACTCAGCCACATGTCTGATGTTTCCTAGAACCATCTTCGGCTTGCAGCATTGGGGTCGTAGGCTAGACCCCCATGAGTTGGGAACTTTCTGAGCCAGAGCTCCCCAGAATGCTATCCACTCTTCTGGTTTCTGCTTCTGCCCGGGGCCTACTCCTCCTCCTTCCCCATGATGTGGTCCGTCTGCGTCTCCAAATCTGCCCGTTCTTCCAGACTTAGCTCAAGGCTCTGTCACCTGGGACCTCCCAGACTGCCTCAGTTACCCCAAGTCCCTCAGCACCAGTTGTCCAGGCTACTTGGCCTACGTACTGTCGGGAGGAGGGTGGGACTTGATTGGCACCCCTGCCCTGATGAAAATGTTTAGCCTGGACCGACACTTACTTGGTAGACAGAGACCCCTGTAGGGGTGCCTTCAAGAACCTCAGCCACAAAGGGCAGGTTCTGGAAGGTGGGGTCATTGTCATTGAGATCCAAGAGGTTCACAAAGACCGTGGCACTGCTGGTGGCCTTCAGAGGGGGTCTGCCACCTGGAAGGACAAGGAGGAAGGAGGCAGGGACGGGAAGGTGGGTGTAAGAGAAAAATGATGGAGAAAAGGAGGCGTACTCAGACCCCTCCCCAATCCCCAGGTGTCCCCGTGAGGAGGAGCTTCGGCCATGTGTCCCTTCCCAGTCCCCCCCTACTGCAGGGTGCCATGGGGGCAGTCACATCTGGGATATAGACACTATTTCATGCCTAGTGATGAGATCACCCTCCTGAGTGGGCTCCAGGACCCCTAAGGACCACCCAGGGGGGCATCCCCAGAGGTCAAGAGCCTCTGCCTATGGGGGAGCTCAGAGGTGGTGGTGCAGGAGTCCGTACAGTCTGTGACAGAGACAACGATCTTGCGCATGAGCTCCGCCTCCACGGGGTCAGGGTTCTCGCGGTCCAGCATGACGTGGGTGGTGCGGATCTTGCCTGTGGTGCTGTTCAGGCTATAGAACTTGTTGGGGGGCTGGATGCTGTACACCAGGGTGCCATTCTCCCCCAGATCTGGGTCCACAGCCACCACCTGCCCAGGAAGGAACAGACCTCTTGCTGAGTTACATCGCAGTTCCTGGCCCAGGCCCAAGAGTAGGCAGGCTCTCTTGCCCAATCAGGGCTCTGTTGGGAACAGGAAGTGGGAAGGGCATGAGATACATCAGTTTCATAGTCTGGGTTCTCGGGCATCTTCACCCGTCAGCCGACTACGTGGAAGCCCCCTTTGTATTCAAGCCTGGCTGCTCCATGTGTAAAAGTGGGATGGGCAGGGATAGGAAGGGTGGCTGGGGATGTGGTTCAGTTGGCTGAGGAGGGAACCCAGGGCTGTGAGCGCTACCGCAAGGCCGGTTCTTTCTCCCTCCAGCATTCCCAATGGTGGAGGATTTGAAAAGCACTGGGCCTCTGTGACACCAAGGCCTGGGCAGGGAGCCATTAGCTGAGCCTAGAGATGTATGGCCAGACTCAGGGTCACACAGCACCAGCCTTGGGGTGATCCTGAACTCTCTGGTAGCCTCCCAGAGTCCTGGGACAGCAGTGGCACTCACCCCTCAATCCACTATCCCTCTGTATTGCAAAACCATGACGGCATCAGAGGTGGACAGGATCATGGCGGGGTAGGAGCGGTGGGGGAGAGAGGATGGCTGTAGTCCCAGGGGCGGCATCGGGACAATGTCATTAACTTCACTACACGGGGGCAATGACAGCCAGGGCTGGTCAGCTCCTCCGTCTCACTTGGTGCAAGCTTTTATGCTCTGGCAGCAGAATTTCTCTCTGCTCTGGCTTAATCCCCAGCTGAGGTGTCTCTGGGGTCACTAGACCAGAACAGATAGATATCTGGCCAAGGGCTCCACTTGACGCCATCTCTGAGAGGCACGGAGAGAGGCTTACCGGGCAGCTCCCTAGCCAGCGAGACCCTCGTCAGCACGGACATCTCTTTCCAGGCTCACCTTATCCGACCTACACTCTCCCGGTCTTTCGGTAGCAGAAGGGGTGAAGAGGGGTCTCCCCCTTCCTATCCTGGGT